TAGTGCATTCGCACAAATTACTCTTTTCCCTTCCCATGTTATATAGTTTGAGTAGCTGGAATACAAACACAGCCACAGTCAGGGAAGAGATAGTGTTGCCCTGTACAAGCACAATAAACTCTTTCCTGCACAAGTACAGTATCTCAGCTCTAGAACATTCCAAATTTGGTTATATGCAGGTACAGTCTCTAGTATTATGTGAATGCGCTGATGAATACTTGAAGAGCTACAGTCATGGACCAAGAATCTGCTACTGATTTCAGCAGGACTCTGAGGCAAAAAGGAAAATAACAGATTTTATACTGCTTGTATGATAGATTTCTACCCTGCAGAAGTAAACAGCTGATGTTGCAGAGGTGCTTAATAGAGGATGCCAGGGATTGCTTTCTCATGGGGTTCAGACTTTTTCAAAATATACAGTCAACAATTCAAAATCTGTTCACACGTTACTTAGCTTTATTTTGATTACAGGTAGTCTCCAGTTTAAGAACAAGTTCCATTCCCAAGGTCTGTCCTTAAGTCGAATTTGTATGTAAGCTGCTACAGTATTATTGTGTAATACTGTATGTATTGTGTAATTAACTCAGACCATTGTGTATTTAACTTGAATCATTGTGTACTTAACTCAAATTTTGCTATAGTAGGCTGCGTTCCTAACTATGGGATGTCCATAAACCAGGCGTTCTTAACCCAGGGACTACCTGTGTTACATTTATTAAGAATTATTATGAAGAATGTTAGGTCCTCAATGAATTATAACATTAAAGTTACCGCTTTCTCTTCCAAGAATTCCAAATGTATTCATTTGCTAACTCCTTTGGATTATTTTTCTAGAACACGCCTGCTTCTTTATGACAAATAATGCATCTAAATGCATTAGTTAAAAATATTTAGGTATCAGACCAATCCTTTAAATAAGTTTTAAACTTGGTTGAGCAATGTGACAAAAACCTGTTTTGTAGTCCATTACATATGCCCACTATTTTTTCCTTTATCATTAGCTTCAGTTACTCTGTTGTCATTAAAACGTGGCTTTTGACAGTAGCTGTCAAAGTCACTCTATTAAATGACTTAGTGGTTGGTTATAGTATCCTTGCACAAATCCTGCTGAAGTGGCTTGTAAACTGCTACTCCAGCCTTCAAGATGGTCCAAGAAGTTTTTATTATTAATTGTATCATGCTTTCAGATCAAATTCCAGTTCAGCTATCTTAATATATACAGTACATTTTAAAAATCAATGGAGCAGAAAAGTGGGTGAGAGAAGGAGGCAGATTCATGGTGAAAGATGGTGGTAGGGAGAGAATGCTGTTTTCTTGATGCTACCAGCACTGGGAAAAAGAAGTCTTGATTGAGGATTAATTTAATCCTATGCCAGCTGATCATAACAAAAGTTACCCATCCTACTTGAGAGATGCTTTATATTTTAGAATTTTAAATTCAGACTCTAAGGCCATTTAAATATTGTGATTCTAAAATGATTTATCATATTGAATTCTGCATTTATATCAATATTCAATAGTTATTAAACAATGCCACAGTCTCTTTGTAAGGAAGAGCCCTAAGGAATTTAAAAAACAAACCAAACCAAACCACTATATCTAGAAAGAGTTAAGTCAGGGAGGTCAGCTAGTTGAGAAATAAAACCTCATAACTGACCATAACAGCACATAATATTCTCCAAATCTAAGCATGTTTTATAGTTAAGATGCTTCACTTTTATATTTCCTTTTTTCTGTTTTGTTGACCATAGGATTTGACAAACCTGAAAGACTGTTTCCAATCTTAATGTCTATTTGTTTCCATTCAGTAGATTATACAACAGCAATGTCTATGAAGTAATTTCTTCCTGTTCCAAGGTCAGGTGTACTTCACCACAATATTTGAAGTGTGGTCAGGAAATAGATTTAGTTAAGAGTTATTTGTAAGTTCATTGTGTACATGGCAAAGGAGGGCTGATTTCGAACACTGCAACCAAACAAAATCTAACTGCAAAAAGCAGGTGCATGAAGATGCCTCTACAATGATAGGGAAGGATCTCAGGATGTTCAGGCCCCTTCTTAAGGTACACCAAAAACTTTTTTTTCAATTTAGTGAGTTTTGGCTTAGACCTCCCTTCCAGGACCATCTTTCCACCCTAATCTGAAATACATAAAAGTCATGAAATGAAGTTTTATGAAGGTTCTGAAAAGAAGCTCTCTTTCCCCTGTCAGTCAGCAGAGAGGAGCTGGGAAATTTAGAGGACAGGAGAATGCAAGAACCAACTGACAGAAGAGGATATGGAAGGGAGGGAATAAGGGAAATGATATAAGCGCCACACGTAGCTCTATTCTGCCCGTTCTCCTCTGTTATAATACAAACAATTGCAGATATGATGCAACATACTGAGAGCCCTGCTTAAATGCCTAGAAATTACTGGGCTAGGAACTAATATGATGCAGATATTGTTATTAAGATACCTGGTACACATTTAAAAATTTGGCAAGCCCATAGCCATTCTACACACTTTCATTTATTGTCTGGATAATTTAAATACAAATAATTCAAACACAACAAGATTATGAAAAAAACATTTACAATACTTTCCTCAAGAAATGATCTAACTGGAAAGTTAAACATGAAGTCTTACATTATAACTAAAAAATACAACTGCCTGGTCCTAGGAAAGATTTCTTTTTCTTTCAGATA